CTAGTAATGGTTAGGTTTAGACATGTACTAGTAATGGTTAGGTTTAGGCATGTTCTAGTTTCTACCAGGTTTACAGTGAAAAGCCAATCCTGAGACACACAAACCCAGTCCACAAATTCACCTTAAGATTTTGACATACCATATTTTCCGCCGTACACGTCGCACCGCCCTATAAGTCGCATGAGTCCAAATATGTCTAATAAAGTGGAAAAGTCCATAAATATGTCGCACCTATCATGCGTCACCGCTGACGCGTTGTGTTTTTTATGCGTTACCACTGACCACCCTGGAACGTGGGCCGCTGTTGTGCCAAAAATCAATTGGCTGCCAAATGGCGGCCGTGGGAGGACTTTAACAAGAATTTAACAAGATAAGCACCTAAAAACAATTGTTTGCTCGACTTTATAGTAAAGGTGTGTCTCAGTTGAACGATTACTTAATAAATGCATTTCAACCATCAAATCAGCTGCATTTCGCCGGGGCGGCGCAGTGAAATGCAGCTGATTTGATGGTTGTTCCAAGTATGATCCTGGAGCTGGACGTAGGTGGCAGACTATGGCAAGCTGATTGTGTCATTAATAGCCACTTTTACCTATTACATGACACAACGACATGCCATACTACTCGAGTGCCATCTAGCGGCTGAAAATGGTAGTGTTCAATATTTTCAGTCAAAATAAATGAAAACAGTCAAACATTGGTTTATAAATATGGGGGGAAAAAAATCCATAAATAAATCGCTTCGGCTTATAAGTCACAGGGCATGCAAATTATGCAAAAAACACGACTTATACGCCGAAAAATACGGTAATTGAAAAAACCTCTAAACAGTCGCATATGTTAGCACAAGTGCACAGAGTAATGACAGATGCAGACCTACTCCACACACAGATTGCTGCTCCTTCCTCCTCCACAGTCTAAATGCTAATCCAAACATTTGAAACGTTCTTTTTCTAAACCTGACTGATACAGGTATACCAGGTTACTGCAACATCATCATCATTTTTATCACATAGATTAAAAATAAACAAACATTAAAGCTTTTCTTTAGCTCTGACCACGGTTTTTGCTTGTTTACTGTTCTTTCTGACTGCTTTTAAAAGTGAATTTGTTCGTTTGAAGTCTCATGTTGTTCAGCTCTTGCGTCTTGTTCTTTGCATGGAAGAAAACAACAGTTAAATCATTTCGTCTGGCCCAGAAAACTGGTCCAGATGAAATGATTTAACTGTTTTTTTGTTATCTACCTGGATGATTGAGCCTACAACCCTTTTTGTTTTTCATGGAAACATCAACAGATGTATATTGAGGGACAGCTGTCCTTTAGCCTGTGAGTCACCTGGTCTGCTGGTAGTTCAACGTGTCTCTTTGTTTCAGAAATGTAAGATTATGCTCCGCTCTTTATAACAGCGTCTTTTTAGACGTTTGAAGTTATACATTTAGTCTGTGTTCATGTTGCACTGAATATCTAGTTTGATCAAAATATGACTTTTTATCTCAAAGTCAAATATTTGAAAGCCTCACATCTTTGTCATTATACTTATATAAAATTTGACATTTAGTCATTTTAAAACAGCTTGACTTTCTTTTGGATGAGCCTGGATATGTTAAATAAAGTTTTTAGCTTTTTTTGAGTGATTCAGAGCCTTCATTACAAGAACAAGTTAAATTTAAGCTGCCCTTTTTTTCAGAGCTCCATTTAAACCTGACATATTCAAAAAAACTTGCTATTGTATAATTGAGCTTCCTTTTTGTGACAGAGTGGATGTTTAAAATACACAAGTGAGACGTGTTTTATCTCCAAGAAATGCCAAACCATAATTTGAGTTTAATTAGCTCTGTAAGTTTGCAATAAACACTTTTGTTTATCTAGATTTCTTGTTAATTTATATATTTTATGGCTACTGTAAGCACAATTTGCAATTCTGCCATGGCGGCAAATATCAATCATCATTAGCATTTATGCACGTTCTAAATTATAAAAGTCATGCTCCTGAATTTATACCAGTTAAATAAAGATATTAGCTGTTGCACAATTCCTAAAATATGCTGTACAACTAGGGCTGTCAGTCGATTAAAACATTTAATCAGATTAATCACACTGGGGCTGTGATTAATCAGGATTAATCACTATGCTTAACTTTGTAAGCTTGAAATGTAAATATGCAGATTTCCATCAAATGTTGATGAAAACGTTTTCTTGTCTCAAACCAGTTTCCAGGTTTTCATACTCTGCCAGGTTTACAGAAGTCGTTTTGTTTCAAACATTAATTTATAAATGTTCACTCAAATGTCTCATTAAGTGTCATCTATGTGATCAAAACATGTAAACAACAACAACAACGTTCCCTCTAATTGTTCATGTGTCTGAGCAAACACACAAGCTCCCTGAGCATCTGAGCATCTCTCTGCATCCTCTGTCCTCACTCCAACTACCTCCATGTCCTCTCTGTCTGCATCCATATATCTCCTCTTCTCCTGGCAGCTGCATTTCTGACATCACTGTCCCTCCTCTGGACATGTCCAAACCATCTCTCTATAACTTTATCTCCCAGTTGTTCAACCTGTGCTGCACCTCTGATGATCTCATTCCTAATCTTCTCCATCCTTGTTACTCCTAAGGAGAACCTCAGCATCTTCATTTCTGCCACTTCCAGTTCTGTCTCCTGTCTTTTTGTCCATGTCTCTGTCTCCAGACCACACAACATAGCTGGTTTCACCGCGGTCTTGTAAACTTTTCCTTTGATCATCCAGATACACACAGTTATACACCGAGCACTGTTTGCTAACACTTAGCATGATAAAAACAGCTACAAGTCGTGGGATTAGTTACTTGCTGCCTTTGTTTGACGTCGTACGACCGTAAACTTCTGTGATAAATCCACAACTACAAGTATTATTCCTCGTATGTGATGAAATATGCAGTAGAAGCTTGGAAAGCTAGAAGCCAAGGAGGTTTGTAGCTACTTAGCTTCTTCACACGTAGCGTCAAAACTC